TTATTAAAATGTATCTGCTGTCAAAAAAATACAAATAATACTTTAAGAAAAATAAATCAAATGCAGCTTGTGTTGCAAAAGTCAATGAAAGAGGCTGGAGGTCTAGTTGGTTTTCCACAGTGGTGTTTAGTGTGATGGACGTGGGACAAACAGTGCTTTGGGTGGGTTTTATTTGTAGCAATGTGCCTGGCCCTTTTCTCGACTCATTCAATGTAAACCAAATCCAGATCTGGTAGTCGGCATCCCACAATGCCCAGTGCTGAGCCACGTTTAAGCAGAATTGCTTTGGCCTGTATCAGACACGACTGGTGTGATGTTGTGACGTACGTTCAGTGGTATGATGTAAATTAGCGGGTCGACCTGGTTCTGATGTTGGCACTGTATGCTGATTGGAGCCGAGCCGTTTGAAAGGTGATTTTAACGCGGGTCACTTATCAAGTTGTTTGACACAGGTCAGTGAGCCATTTCCACTTCCTCCAGAGGCCAATTGTTTGTGCTTTTTAGCCAGTGGGAAAGGGGGATAATATGAGGCCATAAAATGGAATGAGGCCACCATAGCATGGCTAATGTGGTTGCTAAGTGTAGGACATTGTCTGCAAAATTCCTCAGGTAGACTGAGACTTACGAACAATACTCAGATGGTTCCCTAAGATGCTGTTCTACACACCTTGGATGTAAACACTTGTTTTTAAGATAACATTACCTTTCTGTCCTCTCAAATCTGTCTGTCAATCCCTTTAAATCCATTTATTTTTTTTTGTCACACTTAATCCCAGTTGGGGTAGCGAGGGGTCCTGGTGCCTATCTCCAGCTGTCTAAATGCGAGAGGTGGGGTAATCCCTTTAAAACATCAGAAAATAGTAATTGTCCACACTACAGCTTCTGATTGGATATTTGCTCTTTATTGAATTATTGTCTAATAATATGTCAGACTCATAGTAGATCACTAGTTTCAAAACTACCATCAATCACTCAATGTCACTTTAACCTTCTTCATTCCTCAAGCTGATGTCCAGGTCCATATTCATGAAGTCCTCCTCACCATGTCAGGGGTAAATTTTAAAAGAGCTGTCAGTTCACTTCTTGAGTCAAAACTCACCAACTCACCAAAATTATAAAGCGGCCAGAGAGTGTATGCTTTCTGGCTTCCCCCATAAAAATCACTGAGAGGACATGAAAGGTCTCATCACTCTCGGTTTCTAGCTCTGTCATTGTGGAATGACTTCAAGAACTTTTAAAATCTGGATTTTATTGGCTTGAATCTGGAAACAAAGTGACATCCTATTTTCAACAAGGACACTGTCCCCAAAAATATGTCAAGGCCATTTTTTGCACATGGCCCTGTCCTCATAATGTAAGAGCAAAGCCTCCCTCAGCAGCCAGAGACTGGAGTTTATCAGTATAAACGACATGCAGTCTGGTCTTAAACTGCAGAGGCACAGATAAATGTGAAAATGTAAAATCTGTGAGGAAAAGGTGGACTTCTTTCAAGGATAGAGAGATCTTCCAGATATACACATGTAAACATACTTGGGGCATAAAAAAATAACAGATAAAGAAAAAAAAGTCTACACAGGCTGAGACAATTAATGCAGCAAGATAACAGAAAATCTTTATATAGCTGAACCCAATCAAAAACAAAGACTGAAGTTTGACTGAAGTTAAATGTTGTAGCAAGTTTAAATAACAGAATATCAGAAGAACCTGTAAAAAGGAATGAGGATTTGAATAAAACATAACCAAACGTTAAGCACGCTTATTTTCCTCCACTCCTGTTTTTAGATGTTTCAGACAAGTCATAAGTTGAAATATGAATATTTAGTATTTACCTTTTTTCTTTTGAAATAATTATCATCATTACCTCCATCTCCACGGCTTTAAATCTAGTCTTTCTTTTAAGGCAATAGATGAAAGATGGAAAAAAAATCTGGAATAAATAAGACTGGATTTGTTTCAGGTTGTGCACACTTATCAAGCACATTTTTTTCTTTGATAATAAGAATCCTGCATTCACTACTAATTATCACAAATTTCCATGTCAAAATCATTTTTTTTTTTAAGAATAAAAATGACGCTCATATGAACAGCTGCTGCAGAAAAGGAGTTTATATGGTTTCATTGATAAGACATTGCGTGGAATACATATTAACATTCTAAACCCTAAAATCCTTAACCGTCAAACACCCTAAAATCAAGTATGCAAAGAAAAACAAAGTTTTTAATCATAGATCACAGCTGACCCTTAAATTTTGCTCCCAAGGAAGCTCGGCCATGGCAAAGGTGCATGCAGAAACGAGGAGTCCTCCAAAAGTTGAAAAAATGTGACACAGCAGAAAAGTTAGATTAGAACAATATTTCATCAAATTTTATGGATCTAGAGTAACTTTCTGCAGCTATCTCAGCACTAGACTGACTGGACACATAAAATACATGTGATGACCACTTGTAGTAAAAGAGTAACTTCAGAAATGGGCAGAAGAAGCTAGCTACCATGTTTTGTGAATTTTTCCTTTATCAAAGAGGGAGAGAACATCACTCGGTAAAACAGAGAAAGACCATTTTTTATCTTTGCAAATTTATTTATACGCATGAAGAGTTTGAAGGATCTTTTTGTGAATTGCTTTTTGCAGTAGGTATTACAGATGGCATCTAACCAATTCTTGATTTAATAAAACAAAGAAACATGCAGTAAAGTAAAACCTTTGCAGATGCTCATGTTTTTTAGATTACACGTCCTTCTGTTGAACAGGTTTTCCCTTAAAAATTCAGGACAGATGCATCTGGATGGAAACTGTCACTTTTTTAGATTGTTCGGCTTTTCTGGTGATTTAAAGGCAAGGCAATACTTTTCACAACTGGTTTGGCAGATATATCTGTGAGTATGTGTTCTGTAAACCTTCTGGAGAGATTTTAGTGGAACAGCCATACAAGCTGCCTTCCTGAGTTCACATCAATAGACCGGTCTCTGTGGTTTTGTTATGCTAAAGCCTTCTCACTGACAAAGCCTCTGTATCAAACACTGGTTTCTTGCAACAACAGGGTCTGTGACCCAAACTGATCATTAGAATGCATTTGATGCCACCAGACTTGAATATTAATATGGATCTTCAGGTCCTGGGACAGTTAATTAATTCCAGTTTTAAGTCTTGATCTTAAAAAAAAAACAAAAACTTGTGTCTTGCATCTCTCTCTGAAGCTCTTAGCTGCGAAGAAGAAGGTCAGAGAAAAACCATTGACATCCCAACCCAGAATGTGCTCAGTGTTTTAGATAAATGAGCAGTTATAATGAGAACAGGCTCGTATTTCCTGTCTGGAGCTTCAGCTTCATCCGAGCATCAAATGTTGTGGACCGTCTCGCTTCAATTACTGCCCTAACCTCCTTAACCCCTCATTTCATTTTAACCCCAATCTTGTGCTTAATCTGTCCCTGATTTAAAATGTAATATAAAATACAGTTATGCAAAGGCATTCTACTTGGAGTTTTATTTGGGATGAACAACGGTTCAGGACATCTAACAGGAAGCATGAGGAAGCCCCAGAGCTTCGTTGCCACCTGTTCAGAGCTTGCATCACATTACTACTTATGGATACATCAGCCAGCATTCCCTTGTGCCTCCATTTGAAAGGAAATTCTGCAGAAAAAAAAAAGAGGGATGCTCTCACGTCTCTTGCCTATTTAAATATTGAATCACACATGTGAAACCTTAAAACTGTTAGGATTCCAGTTTCTGAGGTTTGTTTTTTGTGTTTTCCTCTCTCCACCACCAGGCAGTGACCTGCCCTCGTTGGGCCTCCCTGCAGACCTGCGGCTTGTTGGGTCATTACCAGAGGAGTACTTGAGCAACACCTCGACGCCAGAGTGTTTGCCAGTTTAGGGTACTCTAGCAAAACTGAGATTAGCAGTCTAACCTTAGCATTGTTTCTCTGAGTCTGAACTTGTTTTTTGTCTTTGTTCTTTGGCAGGAAGACTTCCTGTGTTACTGGATAAGCCTGGACCTTCTACCCCTGGAAGGATTTACTTAGTCTCACTGAGAAAGGGGAAAACCTCCACATGATCTGTTCAAGTCCACTCCTGGAAAACCAAGTGACAGTCCGCTCCTTAACTCCTCTGGGTCCTACGTATGTCTGCCTGTCTGCTCTCCAAGTTCCCTCTTCTCTGAATTAAACCCCCACAAACTGGATCCAAGGATAAACCAAGAGCCACCCAAAAGTGAGTTCCTCTCCAGCAATATTCAAGCCTCAGTCTATTTTCCCACTGTCCCTTAACTGATCACTGTGATCTCCCCTTCAGAGTTTCCAGTTCCGGTTCTCCAGTCCGCTGAGTTGCAGCATTGTTTTCCTCATAGAGTTTCAATCTCCATCAGTGTTTGCTAACCTAAAATAAACCTGTTAAACTTTTACCCTTGGTCTCTGAGGGGTTCTCTGCATGTGGGTCAGATCTTTAATGCCCATTATGACAAAAACCTGTTAACCTTACATAATTTTATCCCCACTTTGTAATTCACTGGCTCAGTATCTCTGCAGTGCTGTATTTTAGAGATGGCAGTTCATTCCATCCCAATAAAGATTTGAATACGGGCCTTCTGTATGCAAATAGGGTGATTTACCACTTGACCTAGCTGGCTACAGGGTAAGTCCTCCTTATGGAAAAACAAACTTTAAACTGAAATTTTTTCTTGAGGAAACTTTCTAATTCTGTTTGAGTACACATCAGCCAGACCAAGGCCTCCCTAAACACCAGACATCATTTAGACTTTGGTTTTTAGGATAAATCAGGTCGGTCAGTCTTAGTCTTGATTTAGTCCAGAAACAGTTGTTAAAATTGGGCTGGGTTTGGTCAGTGTGATTTTGTGCCACTTTAGTCTAATAGTAGACAGTGAAACGTCTTTTTTTACAAAATGAAAATTACAGTTTTTCACCTTTCACTTTTCAACAAATGTAGACATCGTTTGAACGTAAATCATGTTGTTTTTTCAATGAGGAGTAGACAGAGCTCCTACCTGGATAGAGCGATCTCAGCCTTCTGTCGGGCGATATCTGCCGCCTTCTGCGCGCCCTCCACAGCGCGGTCCACCTTCTCCCGGATCTTGCTAGCCCGGAGGGGGATCAGGTTTTTCCTTTTTCCGCTCACCAGGATGTTTTGCTTATACTTTCCCTCCTCTTTGGTGCCATCTGGAAACGTGGTGCAGCCGTAGCCATGCCGTTTGTTGCTTAACCACTCCCCTTCATACTGCAGTCCGTCAGACCGCCGACTCACACCAAATCCGGTCCGCTTGTCATTCTTCCACTCCCCACAGTAGGTCTCCGTGGCTGTGGCGTCAATATCATCATCCACAACAGCCAGCTCTGTGTCCGCATCTCCAAGGCTGAAAAGGGCAAAGGTCACACTGATTCTCATTGGTATTATAACACTGGATTTTTGAAATGAATACAATTAAACTGAATCGTTCAGATGAACAAATATAATTATTACTATTTCCCAAATAAAATATTTAGAATGAAGAAAATTTGTATTTTTTTTCAGTAGATTTTTTTTTTTTCCAAATGCTAAGAATAGCATTGGATATTATTGGTTTCTCTCCACCAGCTTTTCACTAGAGGCTTAGCTGTTTTTTGTTTTTGTTTTTTTTTTGTTTTTCATATTTTCAGGTAAAACTTGTGTAACTGGGTTAGATTTATATGCAGTCCACCTCAGTTTGTGATGGCAACATTAAGTTCTGACTGCTGCACTTAAGCTACTTTCTACTTACCGTACTGTCTGTCTTTATAGGGTTGAAAAGGCATTGCCAAGAATTTGGGACTCAAGAGAACCTTAGCGAGAACCATTATCTACAGACAGTGAAAACAAGGACCTGAGTAAAACCTTCCCAAGAGTCGCTGGCCAACCGATTTACTCCAAGATGAAGTATCCGGGAAGTCAGAACAGCTTCTAATGGTTTAAAGGCCTCAGATAAGGTCAGGGTTCATGGTTCAAAAGTAAAAAAAAAAGAAAAAAAAAAAAGAAAAATGGCATCTATGGAGAAGTTTAGAAGTGAAAAATATAATAAACAATAAAGGCCCACCCCACATATAACCCCCCCAAAAAATCTTAATGATTCCCCAGGTTTTTGGTCAAATATTCTGACAAGAAAAAAGTGGAAATTGTTAAAAAAGTGTTCCATCTGAACTAAAACCTAAAAAGGATTTTTACAAACGATTACATCATACCATAAATAAAACATGATGATGGCAATGTGATGGTCTGGGACTGCTTCACTCCTTCACAGCCAGGAGGATTTGAGTAAATAATGTCCAGAGGGAGATTTAGCTTCACCGATTTAAACTCAAATGCACTTGTGTTCTGCAGATGTACAAAAGATGATCTAAAGCACCTCAGCAAGTCCTAGTTTAAATCTAACCTTGAGCTGCAAGCTGGAATGTCATGAGAGATTTCAGTCTCACAACAACTCTATATTGAAAGATTCCCACTAAAACATCAATCTCAAAACAAGTGAGGCGGACCAATGACATGCCAGCAGTGTTTTTTGGGGCAGGACATGTACAGTAGGAATGACGACAGTCAGAAGGGCATTACAAACATGGCTACGCTGGAGGACTCACTTGTCGATACCGCAATTGACTCGGTTTCAGGTATATCGACATTTTCTCGTTTAAAAAAGGAGCAAAGAGAAGCACTTTGTGCATTTTAAATGGGAAAGATGTCTGTGCTTTTCTTCTGACAGTATTTAGAAAAAGTTTTATTTATCAGCTTATTCCGCTAGTTGTGAAAACACTCAAGAAGCTGCCTGATTCGCTGCTACGATCAGCTGAAAGCGTTTTATGGAAGGTGGGTACTAGCTAGCATGTCACCCAATCAGCTAGAAGTATTGTACTTAACATCCCTCCTTTTCACTGACAGACTAAACGGCAGCCATCCCAGATTGATAATGTAGAACTCAACTCAGTTCTACACATATCAATCTGGCTACTGCCAGGTTAGGTGAAAGCATCATCTTTGTTGGATTTAAAGTATTTTCAGGGTTCTGAAAAATATAAGGGAGAAAATACTTTTCACAGTGATGTAACACTGAAAAATTCCAACGTTTGAAACGCTAAAGTCTTTATCCTAAAGTCAGAGTCAAGCCTCAGTCAAGAGCCAAAATTGCAGAAATACTCCAGAAAGAGTATATTCTTCTTGAGCTTTTTGTTCTTTTTTTTTCAGAATTGAGTTCTATGGATGTACTGCAGCTCATGCACACATATGTACAGGGTGTGGAAAGACAGTCTAGGATATTAATAAAGGATACATTAAATTAATTGTGTGCACTTTTGAACTAATAGTTGTAACACATCCAGGTGAATTTCCCAGACAGTGTTGAAAAAGTCCAATTCCAATCCCAAACTTAAAAAAAACTTTTTATTTTAAGTCAAGTCTAGAGAAATAAAATCAAGAAATTATTTCTGCCTAAACTCCTCATCTCTCCCGGACACAACAATAACATTATTCCAAGAGCAAAAAGGAACAGTCCAAGATTTCTGATATTTTCAAACATTGAAGGCGAAGTCGTGTTCTATTGAAAAAGGGGGTCAAACAAAGTAATAGCAGCGAGAAAGCCACTCTATAAAATAAAAAATCCCGTAAGCCTGTTTTTCTGTCATAATCATCAACACTTTTCCCCTAATTCAATCATGTTTGGATGCACATCACCTTCAGCTGCTGTCAAACAGTGTGCAGCTCTATTCTACTAGCTTTTTTAATGAGCCAACTCAGAACAGAAAACAATTAATTTGATGAAGATTCATCTATTCAAGACTAAACATAATGATGTTAATTAACCTAAATAAAGGAAGGCAGAGGTTGTTTAAACCATTTGATCAAATGTCTAAACTGGACTGGGTCCTAATTTGTTATGCAGTTTAAGTGGAGCAGGTGCTCTTCCTTTCCCAGAAAGTCCGTCCTCCAAATGAAGGGCAGTTTCACTTTAAACTGCGTCATCTCATCATCAAAGGACCAACAGTCATTAGCGAACACGTCCCAAAGTCATTCAGTCAAGTTACACATGGAAAGCTTTACTTGGGAATAATAAATGTTTTGCTAACTAATAAGAGTCATTTATTTGAGCTGATTCAGGGCAGACTTTTTCAGCAGATGCAGGGAGCTGCCTTTTCCGGCCCCTTTGTGTGTTACTCTGTAACCTTTGCCCAGTTATCAGGTATAAATCTGAGGCTTTGTCACAAACCACAAAGGTGGACAGGAAAGCATTTTTGTCTGACATGAATGATGAATATGCTTTGCATTTCTTATTTATAGACCTTTGTCATTCACCTTGCTTTAAATTCACAAAAGTTATGTCCAGCTCATTTATGTCCACCCATCCAAAAAAACATTGTTTTTTCAAGATTTTAAATATTCCTTTTATTTTTAGCATTTTGCCATGATCTTGGTGCTGAGGACCAGAGATGGCAAAAGTACTCACTTTCCGTACTTGAGTAAAAGTACAGATACTTGTGTTAAAAAATACTCTGGTAAAAGTGGAAGTACTGATTAAAC